ATATATATATATATATATATATATATATATATATATATATATATATATATATATATATATATATATATATATATATGACAACTTATAAAGCTAAAAATTCGACTCTTGGGTAAATCCATGATAAAACCAATAAATATCGATCACCAAGAGGAAAGTAATAAATAGTAAACAATTTAATGAGCCGAGCTTTCGTTGGGCCCACCCAACATCATCAGGGCTTTAAAAGTAGTCACTGGGAAAGAGCTTTTATAAGATGTTAACAGCCTGCATCCGGCTTCTGGAACGTGTCACCGGACAGTGACTACTTTTAAAGCCCTGATGATGTTGGGTGGGCCCAACGAAAGCTCGGCTCATTAAATTTTTTTACTATTTATTACTTTCCTCTTGGTGATTGATATTTATTGGTTTTATCATATATATATATATATATATATATATATATATATGTAGGTCTTTGATTAATCGGGTTTTCTCCCGCGTAAAATTGGAAGTGTCTTGGCGACGTTTCGACGAAGTCCCATTCGTCATCTTCAGGCTGGTGTCTTCAGCTTCGTGCTCCTAGAATTTAAATTTATTTGACTAAGCTCTTGTGCTCATGAGACCCTTATACAGGTAGTCATCACTTAATGATGGTAATTGGGACTAGAAGTTCCATCACTAAACAACCTGGTTGTAAATTGTCGTGTATGAGACTATGCCACTTATTCACAGAAATTCCATCAGTTCTGATTGCCTTATTAATTGAACATCATATGTCGTTAAACAAGGACATCTTATGCCTCTTTGAAATTGCTTGTAGGAAGTCTGCAAAAATGGTAACAAATAATGATTGCGATGATGCTGCCATCTAGATGGGTTTTTTTTACAAACACACATACACACACATACACACATTATTTCACTCCTTAATGCTACTGTCCTATTTCCACTCTCATCTGAAAAATCAAAACTAATAGTCTATGTGCCAGAGCAATTTATTTGATATTGCTATTTATTTTTTAAAAATCATTCCATTGCTTAGAAAAGACTGTATTTTAACAGGTTTTTCCTATATATCTTCACAGCTATTAGTCATATTTTTTATTAAAAAAGAAAATTTAAATAGGAGAAACTGTCACTATTCATAATAATGTCACACAAAGCTTCTTCTTCTTTTGTTCCTTAGTTTTAAAAAGGACAAGTTTAGTTGTCTTGAATGATATCATTGCATGACATTACAATGAAGATTGACTTTGGTATGTTCCTAGGGATGCATTTCAAGCTCAATTTTCTGAGTGCCAAAACCGAAACTAGAAAGAACAGGGTTTATATTTTTCAAAGTTTCCCTCTAAAAAGCCTTTCAGAATTCAAAGGTCAGGCTCTTCAAACCTTTCTTTTTTTTTCTTTTGAAATATAACTGCTACGGCAACTTCAAAATCTGTTTTGTCACAATCTATTTTAAAAGCTCTATTACTTAGGCTCTTTTTTTGAGGCCCTTCTGAATATTTGCAGGCAGTTATCCTGCTTCTTAAGTCCTTTGTTGGAAAATCTTTTTTTGCGGGTTATTTTCTAGAGGCTAAAACTCTCCGCAGAAATTATGGGGAAAAAATTCATAACATCATGACATTACTAAGATTCCCAAGGGACTTCAGGTATGATTTCCAATGCCA